TTCACTTGGCTCCCAGGCTCACCCTTTCCTGATTTTCTCCCTGCCTCTCTGAATACCCAGTCTCCTTTGCTGATGTCTCCTCACCACTCTGACCTCTAAGGTTGAAAAGAGGTCCACACCCCTGGACCTCTTCCCTCTAACTACATCCATCTCTTGTTTCTAGCTCATGGCTTTAGACATCACCTCTATGTTTATAAGTTACAAAACTGCATCACCAGCACTTGGCCTCTTTCCCGAAAGCCAGTCAGTCTCACACCCAGAGGCCTGTTTGACACATCCATTAAATGTTGGACATACGGCATAACCCAGCCGGCCCCAAACCAGACGCCTGGTGTCTTCTGCCTCCACCCTGCTGCTCCTGTCATCTTGCCCATGCAAAAGGATGGCAGCCTTGTTCTTACGGTTGCTCAAGCCAAAAAGGTTGGAGACATCCTTGACTACTTTTTCTATCACATCCCCACGTCCGATCAATCCTTCAACAAATCCCATAGCTACCTCCACAGCTACCACTCTGGTCCCAGTCACCCTCATTTCTCACCTGGAGTGTATAATGACCTGCTAACTTGTCTTTCTGTTTCCCCTTTGCTCCCTTCTCTTTACTCTCCACATAGCAAGCAGGGGAATCCCTTCAGAACAAAAGTGAGGTGATCATGTCTGTCCCCCGATCAAGACCCTCTGTGGCTCCCCAGCTCCGCGTTGTAGTCAAAGTCCTTATAATCACCTGTAGGGCCCTATCCAATCCTCCCCTTCCCCTGTCCCTCCCACACCAGTGTCATCAAACCTGGGACCCTTCTGTCCACAGGCTGACACTCTATCCACCGAGCCAAACTGGCTAGGGCCACCTTTCTCTTTTTTTAAAAAATTTTCCTCCATAGCCTTTATTTGCTTGTCACCATCTGATCCCCAACACATTTTATGAGTTTATGTCTTTACTGTCTAGACTATAATAAGTTTGACCAGGGCAGGGATTTGTTTCTGTTTGCTTCAACTACTGTATCTCTGATATCTATACTGCCTGGCACAGAGGAACCGCTCAATAAATATTTGTTGAAAAAATGACTTAATTGATTAAAGCAAGCCTCCTATGTTATAATTGCCATCTGCATGTTGTTCTCCCCTCTGACCCTGGAAGTCCCTTGAAGATAATGACTGGGACGGTTCATCTTAGTGTGTGGACAGCGCCTGGCACATGGTCAACCCCCAGAAGGTGGTTTTTTAGTGTGTGCTTCAGAGCACCTGATGGTTCCAGCTTCGTGATAGCAAACAAGGTCCAAAACCTCACAGTCTTGCAATCCTAACCACGCAAGTGTCCACCTGGGATTGGAAATCCTTTCAACAGTGGCAGACCAAGGGCCGATGGGTGCACTGTGTCTGTGCCAGGCAGTTCTCACCGAACCTTTAGGTTCTGCAAGTTGAAAGCAGGAAATTGTGATGCAGATTCACTTGAGTATATTTTTAGCAGAAAGGTGTCCTGGCAGTACTTGTGCAAATACATACACCCGTGAGTCTTCATCCTTTAATATTTTGCCAGACTCCAGGAGAGCGCTGAGGGGAAGTTAGAGGCATGTTTGTGGGAATTGGAGCACCTACTTACACATGCCATGCCTTGAAGCCCAGCTCCTGCTTGGGAATTTAGGAGATTAAGCCCAAAGCTACACAAAGCAATAGGGTGAAGGAAACAGAATGAGTAAGACACTGTGCATCGTGGTTTGGGTGTGGTTTGAAAACAGGCGTCTCTGTTAAATGTGTAAAATATGATTAGAAGGAACCCTGGAACCACAGGGTGTGGGCTTCCCTCTTGGGTTTGTGGATATTAGACAGTCTTACATGGACCTTTTCAGTGTGTTATCTTCTCAGGGAGCAACTGAAATGGCCCCTCCTCCGGGATTTCCCTCCTTTCCTGACACCCAATCTAAATCTAAATGCCACCCTATGCCAGTTCTCAGCAGAGCATTCCTTACTAACTGATAGTTTTCTTAGTCTCCGTGGTTATTGCCTGTCTCACCACACTAGATGG